TCAGGAAGGACCGGTCCCGCGACTGTGTGTTGGATCGCCCCCCCCGGTTCTGGAACGAAGGGCCGTAGAGGCCGTTAGCGATCGGGTGTGTGTGTGCATGCAATAAAATAGCTGAGAAAATTCCAGGATTTCTGACGAGATGAAGATGAAATTATGGTGTTGCACAAGCGGGAGGGTTAAAACCCCACCTGCAAAAGTGCCTCGATGAGAGGAGATAGATACGCGAGACCAGGGCGTCCGGAGCACTACCCTGGCCTGCTTCAGCAACCAGCCCACTGGAGGTCCTCAGATCCACGAGCAGGCTCTCGTCCTCTCCTTTATAACCTTTATACTCCCTCAACAGAGGGCCTTTCCAGGCAAAGATCTGGGAGTCTGAAACAAGCTGCCCCCTGAGGCGAGGGGATGAACACGTACACACGGCACCAACTGCAGAGTGATTTTTTTTTTTTTTTGCAAGTTTTGATTTTATTTTAATTTCCAGACTTTCCCCTTGTACAGTTTTACACGATGGAGGAAGGAGACGCCACGATCACTCCTCCCCCCCTCCCTCCCTCCTCCATACCCCCCCAACCTCCCATCAGGTTTCTTAAAGAAAAAGAATACGGCCATCCGGGTGAGGAAAAGACAAGTGAGGATGATGTCATACTAACTGCCCCGCCCCTTCCTGTCCCGACTCCTCCCAGAATAGTGACATCATCATATTCCCTGGGGGACGTCCTGCATGTCTGCCCACTGTTCTGAGCAGACATGGGAGAGTAGGCTATACCACTCTCTCTCTGAAACGGGGGTGCGTCGGTGACCCCTGTCGGGGCACTCTCCTCGTTCCCCTGTCTCGCTCCAGCTGGAGGCAGCCAGACTTTGCACTTCCATTCCAGAACTGACCCTTAATTCCTTAATTCAGTTAGGCACTGCAGGTCACTTCCTTAACGAAGGAGAGCCCGGCGCCTGGAACTGTTCGGAAGGGGTCGAAGCCGAGACGACAGGTTGCGATGTGGCACGACAGTACAGAGGTCAAATAAAAAACCGCCCATAAATGAATCTTCAAAATAGCTAAAAATAAATAAATATATGTGTGTGTATATATATATAAAAACAAGCTTATAAAATGGTTGTAAAGGCATTGCATGTTGTCTTGTTTCTAAGGGAGAAAGGGAAAAAAAGGGGTGTCTTTTTTTGGCAATATCGCGTCTGTCTTCAGGGTGTTGCAGGGCGACACCACCCCTCCCTCCCTCCAACAAAACCCAAAGAAAACCAGAGACAAACAAATGAAGCTCTGTCTGTGTATCAGCCTCTGTGTTCCTGCAGGTAAAGATCAGCAGAACACCGCCTGTCAAATTTCTGTTCCTGGAGGAATGCTGCTACTGATCTGGGCACTAGGGGATCCTGATGAAACAGTGGGATAAATTTACCCTTCTCATCTTTACAAAATGGTTTCTCTAAACCTCTTCAAAATCCACATTCCTTGCCGTCTCCACTGTAGCTACCATCATCTTCATCTGTAAACGTTAACCACGATGCTTTTTTTTTTCCTCTATAAAATAACACACAGCTCCCCTTCCACGCTCCTCTGGGCCCAGGAGTTAGTTGGTGAAGGGGTGAAATGGAAACTCTCTGAAACAACCCCGATGTGATGGCTACATAAAGAGACAGGTGGCAGATAGACAGGTTGGTAGACAGAAGTTCAGGTCTAGCAGCTATAGCAATCTAGAAAAAACATTCAGATGTAAACATTGAGTTACCTGGGCAGCACTGACCCATAGAGAGACAGATAAGATAGACACAGTGAATTCTGGGTATGCATATTAATTAGCCCCTCCCTCCCCACCACCATCACATCACAATGCCCAGGTCCAGTGTGGATACAGACAAAGCAAGCAGCCGAGCCTTGCAAAGATACCCAGGAGAGATCTGCCTGTGTCTCTGGTCACAGCGAGCTAAGCCACACTGACGAGCCCTTATAAGGTCAAAACGGCTGTCTGAGGCTGCTTACTCTGAGGCAATACTAATTAATATCAATATCCGTCATTCGTTCCGCCTGCCTGCGGTTCAGAAGCTGACAGATCGCTGGAGGGTGCTGCCTGTGAGCCAGGATCGCTGCACGGTGGCAGCAGTTTGCGGCGGTACCCAGAGTACCCTTTCACCACCCCAGCACAGCTCTGCTCTTGTCCAGCTCCCGGTTCCCAGCTCAACTGGGCCGGTCAGCAGGAAGGACTCGGCTGTCTCCTGCAGACGAGCTCCGCTCCGCTCCCCCCCGCGGGCTTGAGTCCGCTCGGCAGGGGTCCGAGGTACAGAGGGCTCGCAGGGAAGCGGGAGGCTGAACCAGGCTGAACTCGAGGACATGTGCGGGGGAAATGTCTGGTTATGCGTCTTGGGGCGTGGGATGACATCATTCCAGAGGCAACTCCCCTCCTGCACCTACAGGAGGCGACGGAGTGGATCTTGTGGGGCCAGCAACGCGTGTCTAGCAACTGTGGTCCTCCGAGACGGGCAGAGAATCAGGGCCTCACCTCCCGGACCTCGTGCACCCCCCCAGACCTGCACGCTCCCTCCCCCTGCTGGACGAGGCAGGAGGCTCCTCTCTCTCTCTCTCTCTCTCTGTCTTTGTCCTCGGGCAGGAGCGCTTTAAAAACAACACGATAGAAATATTCTCCTCTCTGATGAAAAAGATACAAAATGTATAAAAAAAGTTGCTTGCATTTAAGTTTTACTTCTTCGCCTCCACGCTGCTGTGGTTCTTGTGCGAGTGTGTATTTTCTCTGTCCTGTGAGCAAATCTTCTGCTGAGCCAGTTCATCCATGTCGCCGTGGCGATTTCGCGGTGCGGATACGGTGTATTATGGCCAACCGGGCTGTGCCACGATGCCAGCCTGAGTCTCTCTCTCTCCCCCGACGGGGCGCAACCACATTCTTACCCCCCACCCCCTGCGCCTGGCCCGGCCTGGCCACACTGCTCCTGCAGGCAAAGTCCTCCTGTATCCCACGGTGCCGCAGCGGCCTGTCGGGAGCTGACTGCTCCTGTCCTGCCGGGGACAGCGGGGAGCCACAGACACACTGCACTGTGGGAAGCTGGGGGTGTCATCAGGACTGTCCTTCGCTTCGAGCAACTCTGCAAAAACAAAAAAGGGCGGGGGCTGGGCTTAAAATCAGAGAGGTGGTGGAGAGAGGTCACGTGCACGAGCACGTTAATACACACGCCCTCGGACACAGACACAGGCTAGAGAGGTGAAGCCGTTTCAGGGACTGTGGCAGCTCTGGTGATACTACGGTGGTGTCAACACCCCGACATTGTCTCAGTCTTGGGGTGTGGCAAACGTACCAACAGCACCATGCATTAGTGCAGCCTCATTCAGAAAAGTGTGTACAGTTTTGTTCACCACACTGCAAAACTTTACTGAGTGAAGGAATCAGTCTAGAGAAGATCAGCCAGACAGAGTTTCGGGAGGGAACATCCTGCACTGCCGCACAGTGAAGATGATGAGGGGACCTGATAGGAGTATTGAAAAAAATATCCTCAAAGGCCCCAACAAAGTCAACTTCTTCAGAATGAACACTGAAACACGAGCCAGACGACTCGGGGGGGTGCGGAAACTACAGGGAGGAGCGTTTCAAAACGGAGAACGGGAGGCACTTCTTCACACAAAGGGTGGTGGGAGTATGGAACAGGCTACCCAGCATTGGGGGTTGAAGCCGATACCCTGGCGTCTCTCAAAACATTAGTTGGGTGAGACCCTAGGATCAACTGACTGCTCACTGCTCAGAATGGGCTGGACGGTACTGGACGGCCTCCTCTCCTCCAAAAAGGAGCTTCCTTCCTGGCCTTGCGGTCTCACATTCGCCAATCGCACCTGCGGTTCCCCTGCCCGTCTGCATGAACTCCCCAACCAAGGGCCCCAACCCCCCGGGGGCCTGGAGCCACTGTCACGGCGAAGTCCGCCGACAGCGTGGCGGCACTCAGGCCCCAGAGGGCCACATCCTCGGGTTTTCACCATTATTGTCCCGTTCGCGACCTAAATCATGTGGATGTGCATCCTGGAACACGTAAATACCCAATACACGCAAACGTACACACGTCCAGCGCATACAGTTCTTAACACACCGCCAATGTGCCAGTGAACCCCTGGGGTACAGGGCACGGGCTTTTTGCCTCTAAACGGAACAGGACAGGCC